TGCTCTTCCGATATATATAATTGTTGGAAATGATTTAAGGACGATTACGAAATAATTCAATTATTATATAATATAATTGATATAAATAATTATATAAACAGCTAACGGAAATGTTTTGATGAAAATTTATCAAATAAATCTTTAGGTAAAAATTTTTTTAAAATAGTGAACGTTATAAAGATGTGAAAAATGGTTAGATTGACGTAATTAAAAATATAAATCTATAGAAAAAAGGGAACCAAACTATAAATAATAAGAATGAACAAACAATTAAAAAAAAATAGTAATTACAAAACGGAAAATAAATATTTAAAAAGTGAAAATAAAAATTGCATAAATGAAGCTGAAAATTAAAGCATAAATGCAGAAAATTAAAATAAAAAATACATTTTTTGTGGATATTAATTATTTGACAGATGTTAAAAGTTGAACTAAATAAAATTTATCTCAAAATAATATTCTTTGAAAATTAGAATTTTGAAAAATAATTAAAAAAATGCATTAGAGAATAGACGCGTAAATAAGGATAAAATTCAAAAATATTAAAGAAAAAATGAAATGAATAAATCTCTCACATGTATTATTATGAAATTAGTATGTTTTGCATGAAAGATAATTAAAAACTTACACTGTGGAATCATATAATTGTATGGCATCAATCTCTTCATTTTTTGTAAATAATTCCTCAGGATTCATTTCGTTTAACTCGTCGATTTGTTTCTCAGTTATCATTTTTAATAGGGTATGCCTAAAATCTATGAATAAGAGTAAATTTGGAAAGATTAATATATAATAGATATTTTATTTAATAAATAATCTTTTAAAAATTGAAAAATATATATGTAAATTATATATAATTATAATAATATAAAAATTACCTTTTTATAATATGAGAGGAAAGAAATAATTAGTGATATAAATTATAACTTTTAAAAGTCACAAATAAATCATTAAAGTGTGATATTCGCTTTCATATAAATGAAAAAGAACAAATGAAAATTGTTTATTTTGATAAAAAATATTAACTTCATATTATATAAAGCATGAATAGAGTCTAATTACTGTTAAAAAAAAAATTGAATATATAGAGAAGTATAGAACATGATTCAATGTCAATACGCATAAATGGTATTAGGAACGAATTTTATAAAAGAGAGGATTTATATATATGAAAGCAAATATCACACTTTAATGATTTATTTGTGACTTTTAAAAGTTATAATTTATATCACTAATTATTTCTTTCCTCTCATATTAAAAAAAGGTAATTTTTATATTATTATAATTATATATAATAATTTAAATATATGGTTCAATTTTTAAACGATTATTTATTAAATATAATATCTATTATATATTAATTTTTTCAAATTTACTCCAATATATAAATATATATATATAAATATATATATTTAAATCTATTAAAAATAAAAACATGATTAAATAGGAAAAAATATATTAAAAAATTATTCATAATCATTCTAAACATATATTTTTTATTTTCGTAAAACATATTTATGAAAAATTAATTTTTAATGATGTTATATTTCATATATTTCCTAATTTATATACATGTGTAGTTCTATACAATATGAACAGCTCACATTACGCACCATTCTAAAAGATTTAATCATTATAAGAAAATTTTAGTAAAATAGTATACTACAGAAATACGAAACTACAATTCACGTTTATTCGTTGTTAATTATAATAAGATTTTTAAAAAAATTTAAAAATTCAATTTTAGATTATTAACCTTATTTAAGTTAAAATAAATATCCTAAAAATTGCTATTTCATAAAAAAATTTAGATTGTTTATCTAATCAAAACTTATTTATGTTATAATTATTTTTTTTATAAATATGTTTGTTATATAAATTCCAAAAATTGAAATTTCATAGCTATTCTTAAACTCTTTAATTAATAAATTAAATATTATATTATATATATTAATTAAAATTAATATATAAATTCTAATAATTACAATTTCATAAATAATCTTATCTGATTGAAGAAGGAATAAAAGGTATTTGATGAAAAAAAATTATTATTTGGATTAAATCGAGAAAAACAAGGTATTTATTATTAAAATTAATTATAAATTAAGAAAAAGAAGATTAAAAGAAATGATTATAAAAATTATATAAATTATGTATTTGAGTGATTGATTAATATATCAGAATAAATAATAAACATAATAAAAAATAATGATAATAGTGATAATAAAAAAATGTTATTGGTTAGGATGAATATTTAAATAATATTTAAAAATTAAATTGCGATAGGGAAAGAACTTTTGAAACTGTGTTAAAATGTTAATAATAATATAGAATTGAAAAAAAAAAATTTATTGAAAAAGTGAAAACATCTAAAGCATAATAAAAAAAAATTAATTAGATTTATTTAAAAAAAAAATGCAAAAAAGGAAGAGAGAGCGCACTTTAGAAGAGCAGGAAGAATTAGAACGTAAAAGGTCTGAGAGAAAAAATGAAATGCAACGAATACGTCGAAAAATAGCGAAAGAAATGATAAATAAATCAGGCAAAAAAAGAATAGAAAATAATATAGTATATGTGAGCGATAAAATTGAA